GCTTCTTTCAGTTCTTTCAGGGTGGACTGCTGTGATTGAAGCAGCTTTGCATTCTCCTCTTGCAGAGCTCTGATGCTCAGGAGAGAAGAGGAGTCTTGATAGTAGCCCCCATGGAAGGACGGAGGAGCTCTAGGTTGGGCTGCTTCTAGAGCTGAATAGCCCATCTGAAGGTGGCCTGGGACCAGCTGAGGTACAGCTGGATGTATAGCGTTTCCATAGAAACCACTTAACAGAGGCTGAGAAGGAGAAAAGCTAGCTGGAGGAGCTGAACATCTGGAGGAAAGAGTCCATCCTGCTCTGGATGAGGTAGTGTTGGTCTCCCCAGTAAAGAGTCTCCAGCATAACCAACCTCAAAATCCTGAAACCTGGTAGGTCGACGTCGCTCACGTTTAGGTCTGGCACCAAGGTAAACCTCTTCCTCTGACTCCATCTTGAATGTTGCATCCGGCTCCAAGGACCAATATTAAGGAGAATCAAACTGGATGCTAATCCGTATGGAATATGCAACAACCAGGATGGGTGTCGGTCAGGACACAGGAATGAAGAGCAAGAGTTGGTTTCCTTTGCAACAGGCTTCACTAGCTGTGCACTTTATTGTGAACTTCGTGTTGGAACAGTTCTGAAACAAATAACAATAATAAACAATATATTTAAATATCAGGTATTTAAACAGAGTTCTATCAATAAACATACAAACAGGCTATACATCATAATTATCCCTTTTCAGTCAGGACATCTATATTCAGCAGCTTAGAGGATCCAACAGCACCATCTACTGGTTCAACAACACATCGCAGAGGCAGGTGCTCTAATACAACATGCCGTCTCTCCCCGCTCCCCCCTCCCTCGCGGAGAAAGAAACCGTACATGCGCTATGGCTGGCGACCGTGATACACGTAACTAAAATAATGTTTACCTCAAGTGTGCTTGCTTGTAGATAATATAAACAAATAAATTAGGCTTTCAGGAAGAAGTAAGGGAAACATTTAAAGCAGATAGAAACAATTAGTACTTACTTTTTTCATTCACTCAACACCGGAAGTATCACAATAAGGCACCCGCAGGTAAACATAGATGCGACACTGGCTCAACTGACAAGCTGCCAACGGAACGAGTCAAAAATAAGAGTCCCCAAAGAAAACAGAACAATAACTTTGCAGTAATCCTTACACTCTGGAATATTCAGCAACACACGAAGAAGAAAATACAGGAACACGCGACCGCTCCCCAGCGGCAGGAAGAATTAAACATTTAGTGTGTCTTTTGAATCCCAGCCTTTTATACAATAGGAGAGATATGATCTCTCTTTTTCATTTTCATCAGAACTCTGGCTGCAGCATTTTGGATCAGCTGAAGGCTTTTAACTACAGTTTGTGGACTTCCTGATAGTAAAGAATTACAATAGTCCAGCCTTGAAGTAACAAATGCATGGACTAGTTTCTCAGCATCACCCCTGGACAGGAGATTTCTCATTTTTGCAATGTTCCTCAGATGAAAGAAGGAAATTCTAGAAACCTCTTTGATATGGGATTTAAATGACAGGTCCTGATCAAAAACAACACCAAGATTTTTTACTTTATTATCTGAAATCAGTTTAATCCCATCCAAATGAAGTGACTGGCTAATCAGCTTCTTTTTCAAAGACTCTGGTCCAAAGACTATAACTTCTGTTTTGTCTGCATTCAGAAGCAGAAAGTTAAGAGTCATCCAGGTTTTTATGTCTTCAAGACATGCCTGTAATCTATGTAATGGATTAGCTTCATCTGGATTTATAGACAGATATAGCTGGGTATCATCAGCATAACAGTGGAAATTAATCCCATGCTGTCTAATAACTCTACCGATTAGGATAATAGGTAAAATATACCAGAATATGCATCAAAATAAACTTAATTTATTTAAATAACATTATTTACTTTCGATTACTTTCGATGCAAGTCAGGTAACTCTGAAGCGTGGTATCTGAACTAAACAAAGATGGAGGAACATGTGATGTTGTATCCTGAAACTAGCAATGTCAAAATAAGAGTCCTTAAACTAACTAAGGAAGTACAGTGAATGACCAGGCAACACTACTTGTCAGACCATGGCTCTGTTCGAAATTCTGGGCTGCATCCTCCGAGGACGCAGTCTACCTAGACTGGATCCTTCCAAGTCCGTGAAAATAAGGAGACCGGAAGTGTTTTGGCTGTGAATTCAAACAGGTCTACCCTTCTGTGGGTTTTACCGCTGTAAGCTCTGTTGCTTAGCAACCGTGAAAGTTTCTGTTTGTTTATTGATTTATTTTTTATTGTAAAGTGAACAAAGACTGATGAGAATCCAGAGTGGAATAAAGGTTCCAACCACCGGGAGAACAAATAAAATCAAATGTAATGATAGAAACCTTAGTCCTGCTGTCATTCTGCACATCTCTGATGTTGCTGATATATTCAAATATCCATTACTGTAAAAATGTCTATAGCTGCATATTGGTTAGCAGTGTTGGGCTAGCTACTTGTCCAGTGTAGTGAGCTAAGCTATCAGTTACTCAACAATAAATGAAGCTTCACTACACCAAAGCTACCACCTAAAGAATTATAGCAAGCTAAGTTACACTAATGTGTTAACAGTAGCTTAACTACATCAGAAGCTACTTAACGTTGTACCAAGCTAATGTCAATTCAAAATAATTTCTTTAGGGTCTCCCTTAGAGAAAACTTCTTCAGACCTCAATTAAACAGTTGATTCAAGTAACAAATGAAACTGTTTACAAAAAAGGTGAAAAAATAAAGAAGCTAATTAAGAGATATATATACATTTATGTCTCGCTGTATAATTTAATTTCTACCTACATACCGTAAATCCTCTAATATTGGCCTGTATTCCATTAGCAGCCGGGTCTCTAATAATGGCCTGTCTGGCTGTCGGCGGAGGTAAATACTGGCCGGACTCTTATACAGGCCAGGGCTATAATTAGAACCAACAATGTTCCTGGGCAGTCCTCAACAACTTGTGATAGTAACATACAAGTACTACAGGGGGGACATATTTGCTAACGAATCCAAGCCATTAGCATGGGAAGTCCCATCCTTAGCACAGACAGTGCCGCAGACAGGAGGCTGGCTTGTTTTGTTTTTATGACCGAAATTGCGGAAAACAAAACGTGAAGTTTCACCAGCTACATGAGCGAGGTGCGCGAGAACGCTGGGACCCTTTTTCCACCTGGATCTCCGCTCTTTTTCACCATCATGTCCCTCCGTTGGCGGACTACTCAACCCCACTTCCTCACCGCCTTGGCCGTATCTAGACCCACAGTCTATTATTGCGCGGACCACGCTTCAGTATTAATGCATTAATAAAAAAATTCTGTGTCAAGCTCATTGTGACACACTGCTGCAGGAGTATAACCAGTAACACAATCATTCTGATCTGAAAGACAGATGTGATTACCAGCAGGTCTGGTGGTAACCAGGCAGCGTTTAAATGACAGAATTTTGTTGGCCTCTCGTCTGAATTTCTCTTGAAATATATGATACCGGTAGCCTACTTCCACTTAGCCTGCCTCAAATAAAATTTCGCTGTGATGGCAGAACAGTTTGCATTTTTTATTTTATTTTTTTTTTTTACTTTGTTTCGCAAGTCAGTTTGGCCAAGATTCCATTCTGTGTCTTCTTTTTCTTTTTGTATTGCCGTGCAGAAAAATTGCAGCTGCTGGAAGATGTCTGTATACCCTTATGTTAACTGTACTTTTTCAATAAATGAACCTAGTATTTTATAGGTTCAAAGAGACACAAAATCTCGTTTTTTTTTCATTCCCCTGGTAGTCTGTTTTGATCAAATAGAAATAGAGGCCTGCCTCTAATTCTGGCCTCCTTCCAATAATGGCCTGGACCAAGATGTACCTGAGTGAAATAAAGGCCCCAGCCTATATTAGAGGATTTACGGTATTTGTATTTTTGGGGGCAATTAATTGAATGCTTATTTATTCATTTATTGAGCATTTATTTATTTATGTATTTATTTTATATACGGTAGAGCTGTTCCTCCATAAATAAAAAATCTTATCTGTGCAAAGCCTAAAAACAGATTTATGTAAACATCCTGTCAGGTAAACCAAGCCATGAAAATACAATATGGAAGTTTCACTACTGCTCTCTAATTAGAGTATCTTAGTGGCACATATGGGAGAATTATCCTGCCATAATGAAAGAGCACATCATTTCAATTTGAGAAAAGAATTTAATCTTCTTGCACTGAAAACTTATAATGCTCACACTCAAAACATGCGCGCTCTCTCAAATATTTTCTTTTCTCTCTCAAATCTTTGTTTCTTCTCTCAGATTTAATGCTTCTTGCACAGATATTTTCTCCTCTCGCTTGCCTCCTTCTCTTCGCGCACAAACCGCGCTCTGCTCAAGTCTCAGATACGCTCGCAAATCCGTAGGCTCTGCTTGCGGATTTTTTTTTGCTCTCTCTCGGATTGCGGTTGGATCGTCGCCTAGCAACCTTTCCAGCCAATAGAACGACAGCCTGGGAAAGGGTGCGCTTGTTTAACCCTACTGAGTGTGCCTGTGCTACTACGCCACTTATAAGAGCGTCAGCTGAAACTGCTATTTACAGTAGTTTTATGGCTGATTGTTGTTTCAAAATAGAAAACCTGGGTAACGCTGTTAGAATGGCCTTTAGCGGTTGGAGGAAGTAGGAGACTTCAGGCAGAGAAACTGTGCAGCCCCACTGGGTGTTTATTCACCAACATTTAATAAACAAAAACAAACTCTGCTCATTTTGGCCTAGGGTCTCAGCAGCAACAACAACTCAATATGGCCAACATGCAGCCTTTTATAGCTGTTGGCTGTTCCAATACACAAACCCACCAAGAAACAGGGTAAAACAAAATACATACACACAAACAAGGTTTGACAAACTACCAAAAATCCTCAAAATATATATTACCAATGCTAGTCATTTTCAGCATCTCTACAAACACATCTTTATCAATATAAATGCAAATGCAACATTAAGTTTATAAAATGTCTAACTCTCTGCTCCCCCCCTTCCGTCTGCTTTGGTCTCTTCCGGAACCTTTAAAAGGTACTCAGGCCCCCGGGGAATCTTTTAGCCTGAACACCCTGCAGAGGAAGAGAGAGGTAAGCCACACCCATACAAGCCTTCAAACATTTTAAACAATCAATACTTATATCATCCCTTTGTTGTATTTTAACAGGACATAATCAGTTCCAGCTGAGATGCCACCGAAACCACCATTAATAAACCATTTCAATCAGTTTGTATCCGGTTCATTTCCTTCATCATGCATTTCTTTTATCATTTAACACATTTTAAGTGTTGTACCACCAAGTAATGAAGACCTTCATTACAAACGCTTTACATTAAGGTCCTTGTAATAAGCATTAGTTTATAGGTAATAAGATCTTAATAAGTACCTACTAGATGCTTATTAACATTATTATGTGTTTATAAGACGGTATATGAATTAATAACATCATTATAATATTGTTAATAGCAGACTGTAAGACATGTATGATAACTCATAAGAAACCTGTTAAACATTGTTGAAGCTTAAGTATACTATTTAAAAAAATCATCCTCAGTATCTTATAAATTTTTTATAACATTACAAACACCAATATTGACTCAACAAACCCAACCATGTCTTTGTCTTCCCGTTAGTAATCTTGTTTGGTTTGATTTATTAACATTATTATATACTTTATTGCTCATCTATTAGAAATTAACTATGCACTTGTTAACCTTTAACTGCGCTTTTTGCAGGTACCTGATCTAAAGCAAGAACAATGTCTTATTAAGGCTGATAAATCTTTTATTGAGCACTGTTATGCCTTTAATAACATATATTTTTGTCGTGATTTATCAAAATGTACTTTATTATGCCCTTATTACAAGTTAGTTATACACTTGTCAACAGCTAACTATGCTTTTTGCAGCTACCGGATCTAAAGTGAGAACAATGCCTTATTAAGTCTAATAAATCTTCTGTTGAGCATTTATTAATGGCTTATGATTTTCACAACTTTCACATCTGGAACAAACAATAACTGCAGGCAAAGAGGATGGAAAGGAAACAAAATTGCTTAACACAACAAATGTTTCAACAGCAAAGCCCAAAAAGGTTTTATTTATATCTGTGGCTTTCACAAACACAAAGAAAGCAAAAGAAAAAAATATATATCTTTTTTTAAAATCACCTACAACTGGCTTTTTTATGTTTTAAATTGACACTTTCTAACTTTGGGTATTGGGGCATATTATGTAAAACATCCGCATGGAAAAGAACAGTTTTGCAAAGTGAAACATTTATTTATATAATCCAAAAATATAAATCACCTAAAACAGTGCAACATAAAACTGTGGTATCTTTCTTCTTTTTTTTTATTCCACTATACATTTTACAAAACACTATTAAAACATGTGCAATTTGCACAAAATGTGCACAAAAGGAATTCAAACGTCCCACTTTCTAACAGCCAAGTTTCCCTGATTTCTTCAAGCATCAGAACCTTACTGTCATTACCTAGACAGTTGACAGTATGATCCACTCCCACTACTTAACCTTCATTTTAGCCTACCCTGTACCTCTTAGCTATATCCTTTAGTAGCCGACCAAGAGGCCCATCTTTGTGTTTCCTGCCTAGCCATTCAGTCCACTCAATGAGACAAAGATGGTCAGACAATAAGTGTTCAGTCTGGTTACCTCTTTGCCTCCAAACCTGTTCCTTAATACTCCGCCATGCTCGTTCTATGTGCTGTGTATGGGCACCTGTTTGGGGATCTACATACCACCTTGCATGGTTAACAGTCATGTGATTATAGCCAAGTTCAGGGAGGGAACGATAAGCACGCCATTCATCACTAATTATATCTGATCCTATCCTCACATGATGTGCAATCAGGGGGACAAGATCTTGTCTTTTTCTTCTCTCAACAAGACGCAGTACTGGCTTTCCTCTCTTGCCCCTTTGCCTCTGCACTCCAAGCATACCGAAGACCCCTTTCCGTCTTTGCCAGGTGCCACCCATTCTTCCTCTGCCGTACTGTTGTGATGATGAACAAGAATCAAAGTAAAAAAAGGAACAGAAACAGCTCATAGGGTGTGATAAACAACTTATAGCCAACTATATAATGTTATGATTACATATAATGCACAAAATGTAATCTAAGAAAATAAAGGCTCACTCATGACTATTATTTTGTTTATAAAAAATATATATTAGATATATTATTTGGTGGGTAACTTACGCAGTATTTCCAAAAGATGGAACAATTTAGTGCAACTAACTATGTGGTGCAATAGAGACAGAGATAAACAGCAAAGTAAGTAGCTTCTCTCATCATAGACAGCAAAGAAAGGTGGAGCGGTGCTGTGTCACTAACCTAAGCAGTCCTAATAAGCATCTTGTATCTTTGTCTTTACGACAATACAGTTAGAGGTTATGCAAAATATGATCATGTCGGCAAAACATAGAAAATACTCATGGGCGTTTAAAAGTTTATTTTCCACTTTTTCTTCACAAATTAATATTCAAACACTTAAAGAACCTGCAGACACACAAGTATCTGAAAGGGTATGCTGAAAACTTTATGTCATAATTAACCAGAAACATACATTTTAATGAAAATTCTGTCAACCCCACTAATTAACAAGGTGTTTTAACTTTTACCAATCACTCACTCACCATCACAAATATTTATAGCTAGCACATTAATACAGCTCTACACACCTTTCTCTTATGGCGGAAGAGACTCTCATCAATTACGACAAATTCATGCCGTCCACCAATGAGTTGTCCTTGTCGTTCTCTCATTCGCTCAACAGCCCTTCTACAGACCTTCCTCAGTTTTTTTGCCATTTTTGAGAGGGTTGCAGTGCTTGCTGCAATACTGTCCTCCATCATATCCACCTGTCTGAGACGCAGGCCCTGTGCAAATCTATAGAAAATATAACACATCAAGAGTTTTGCATTTCCTTAAAAAAGTGTTTCCAAAGTAATTATCCAGCACTTTAAAATGTTGTACCTATAAATGAACTGCATCCACTGAAACAACGAAAGTCTGGATTTGCTAAAAAGAGATTTGTCCCTAATTGATTTAACTGTCTTGGTCCCTGGGTGTACTGCCCGCTGGCAAGTCCTTAACAAAAGTAAAAGTTAAATATTTAGAAAAGCACTTCATATTTGGTAAAGAAAAACACAAAATGTAAACATGTTATTGATATGTAGAAAACATCATTACGATGCATCAATTATTGTTAACTTTACATTCATTTAGAAAGTGATTTAAATTTTACAAGGCACTCAGCAGATGACTATGGTTTTTAGGCTGATTAGTGAAAGAAATGTGCTGGTCATTTACTAACATTTGGTATTTAATTTTGTGCCCTACAAAGGCAGACCTGTGAAATAGGTTGGTTTGAGATCCATCTAACAAATAAATTTGACATCCCTTCAAACGGCTTCTAAATAGCGCATAAATAAGGACAAACGTGCTTAGTAAATAGCTCCAACTGACATCGCCCCAAGGAAAAAGTTATTACCAGCTGTAATGGTCGCTGCCCGTCCTCCTTGTCATCTTCATGTTCTTGTGACAAATACGACATTTGATTTTTTTGATCAGGAGTTTTTTTTTTCTGAAGGAATTTAATTAGCTTCAAAGTTTTCCCGGATGAACTACCTTCAAAAATAAGCTTTCTCATTTTGTTTTGCAGTGTCATTGTGGCAAAGTCACTTCTTTTTTTCTCCACTTCCGTTGCTTTTCGCGGGCCGCTTCTTTTAGCGCTTCTCTACATCTGGGGCTCTTTTCTTCGTGAGCTGCTCACAAGCTTTTATTTTGAAGGCAGACCATGAAACCGACACTTCCTGTTTGGGTCTTTCCGATTAAGCCATTATTCATCTAGCGCATATAATGGAAGGAGTGGCCACAACGTCAACGCCCCAGAGAAGAGTACAAACTCGCGCTGGGCATCGAAAAAATAATGGGGACAAGCGGGGCTGCTGTGATTTGGAGAATGACTCTTCTGGTAAGTCAACTGCTGCAAACTAGTTTTTTTTGTTGGGCGCTCCACTACGGAGCTCGTCTGGTGAAATGGACAGAAGACGATGTTAAGTAGTAGCCACGCGTGGCTAGTGCGCGCCTACTACTTAACTTCTTAAAAAAAAAAAAAAAAGACATGTCACCAGACGGGCTCGGTACTCCTCTGTGTTTTAGTGAGGGTGAAGTCAATTAGACTTGCATAAGCAACCTATTCCCTAAACTTTTTTTTTGTTACAAACACCTATGGCTAAAAGGGGCACTTACTTAAATTAAACTGTTTTTTTTAAATAGTTTAGTTTATGCAACTGGTAACTTAGTAACTTACTTTGTCTTCTGATATGCCAATAAACAGGCACACTTGTCTGATTATTTTCTGTTTTTTGTTAACAAAGAATACCACATGAAAAATAGAATCGGTCTCCGCCAATCACGTGACTTTTGTTGCTAAGACGCCATTTTAGGTGGAAAAGTCGTAGTGTAAACAACCGCAGCATAGCTAAACGAAGGACTAAAGGCCTGTTTACATAGCAGCCTGTCCAAGATAAGTCATTACAGTTAACATAAGCCTGAAAACAGGGGCGGATTTAGGAAAATTGGTCTCCGCCAGTCACGTGATATTTGTTGCTAAGACGCCATTTTAGGTGGAAAAGGCGTAGTGTACCGCGCCCGAGGTAAAGAATTGACGTCACTTGGCGGAGACAAGTGGGTTATCAATAATTTAATTGTACAGGCCTTTGATTCCTCTTTAACTTTATGCAATTTCTTTGATGTGGTTTTTATCTGTGTATTAACTATCCCTTTATACCCCCCTCCACCCCCCCTGGGAAGCATTATCCATGATTAGTATTAAGTTTGAATTTGTGTTTCTGTCAGGTGCTCCCCAAATAGCCCCCACTGCCAAACTCCAGAAGCACACACATGAGCTGGAGCTTGCTAAAATGAAAATAGCTTGTCAGGAAGAAATGACCAAACAGCTAACCAAGGAGAGAGACTTTCTAAAAGACCATCTTGCTCGGAGTAAGTCAGTGGTGTTCACCATTATTTTGAGTATTATATAATTTATTTTGTTACACTAATCATGGTGTTTTGTTTTTCTTAACTAAATATAATTTGCACTTGTTTTTACACACATAAACCTGAATCAAGCCCTTGATTATCCTGTCCAGGGGTGATGCTGAGAAACTAGTCCATGCATTTGTTACTTCAAGGCTGGAC